CAAGGGCAGCGGAAAGATGCGGAAGGCGGAAGCAGCCTGCGCCTCCCACTGGAGATAGTGGGAGGCAAGGGCAGCGGAAGCAGCGGAAGCGAAGTCTACCCACTCCCCCCCACCCCCAACCTGTAATAGGAACTTCTCCTATTTCGAGCCCACCCCGCACCCCCCTTAGATAAGGGGTGGTTATGTCGGATCATTCTTGGCAAGATGGATTCAGACATTTTTTTTGGGTAAGGCAGAGGTCAGACTCCGAGATAGAGCCTGGCCGCGCGCAGGGCGTTTGTGGGAAACCCTGAGTGCCAGGGCTCGGGCCCAGAGTTTAGTGTTGAAGTTTTTTGAGTTGGGGTTTTGCAGGCTGCAGGCTTCAGCTTCTGAGATTCTAGGTCTGGTGTAATCAGAGCTGCAAGGGGTTCCGCGGATGCAGGCTTGCGTGTAGGAAGCAAGTCACATCGAAGGTCCTCCCACCCTGCTTGGCCTTTCTCTCTTTTCTCCGCTGCTCAGACTCTTCAACTGAGGCACTGAGCGGGGACCTCCGCCTACGACCTTTGCTCGGTACCCATCGCAATATGTAGCCAGGAGAATTGTTGCAAACTTGTTGGGTCAGTCTTGCTGTCGTGGACGTGCTTCTTTGGCTTGAAAATTGGATCCGCTTCTGTGCCACTCCCCAAACTGTCTTGGCAGAAATTGGTCCTTGTTTTGAATTCGGTTATTTCCGGCAGTGATGTCAAAATTATAGTTATGGAATGTGAGGGCTTGCTTGTGCGGAATCATTAATTTTGCATCCTCATTTGAGTCTCGCCCATCTTTGTCTCTACATTACGGCTCACAACCAAGTCCAGTGCTGCACCTTCTTTGGGTTCTGGCTTCAGACCACCTGTGTAGTCGCTTCTACTTCTCGTAGGGATTTGGATGGCCAGCTCCTAGCTTCGGACCCATATGTTGCCAACTATGAGTTGACAAGAGTCTAGACATCTTTCAGAGTGGAAATTGAATTGCCACCTTGGCTTCTGCCGGATTGTCCAGAATTGATGACATAGTGCTAGCAAGGAGGTATTGTGCGGTCAGGGAGGGCTTACATGCGCAGCCCGAGCTTCCTTCCGTTTCTCAACACTGACGCCCGGGCTTGGCTGCTTGATTGTTTCGGTCTACAGTAAGCATGTATGTAAGATTAGAGCAGCCGCGGATGCTTCCGCAGGAGAGCTACCGTGACACCCATAGACGGGAACCTGGAGAAGGCCGCAGTGGTTCAGTAAGGAACTGTGTTGAGCATTGGCTCACTTAGTGTTTTTTGTCCCAGAGTGTGCATGTGTGTGGAAGACTATGACCACACAGGTATCTAAAACATGATATAGAAGTTTGCAGGAATGCAAGGGGGCGCGAGGTCGTATGAACGAGCTCGCGCCAACTGAGCTCTCTGTCATTTGGACGGGAAAATGTACCTGCATAAAAGGTTGCATGGGTACCTTTGGTACAGCTTGTGACCATCTTTGCAAGAGGTTTTAAATGTCACGCAGGGGCACTCAAGTCAGATACGTACAAACATGTTGCTTTCCAACTGCTGGCCAGCTTCATAAGCTTTAGTTTCAACTTTGGAGCATATATTTTCATGTCAGCCTTTCACGGGCTACAAACGCAAAACAGAGCATCCAGTCGCAAAGACCCAGCTCAGCAAGCAGAACAGGACCTACAATGCAACAAGATCTGCAATGAGAGAGAAGAAGCTACAGAGATCTTGTTTCCGTTGGCATTCGTTGGCATCAGTTGGAATTAAAATCACCTGTTGGCAGCAACAGGAAATTTACAGAACTTTTCAGAGAGTGCTGGCATTTCCCACGCCCTGCTGTCTAGTGGTTTTCCGTGTGTTTGGGTCCGCAGACGTCTGCCACCATTGGTAGGGGCACAGCAAATCACAGCAACAAGGCGACGATTAGCCATGCCAAGCCTCATGCATTTCACCACAAACAGGATGTTTGGAAGTCAGCTCCGTGGCTCCTCATCTTGCATTTACCACACGTTGAAGGTTAATCTCGGCAAGTTGATGAAAATCAGCTCGGGACTGGGGGTGTTGCCACCAGCCATCAGATTCCATGGGCATGTTGATGCTGGAGGTCATGTCGATGGTGGAGGAGACTTGGTAATGTGTATTCAGAGTGTTGCAAGAGAGCGCTTCAGAAGCTTTGAAGGAATGAGCGTACCACACAAGCACGCAGGATGGTGTACCTCATTAATTGTAAAGCCAAATTGCATGCTGTACACATGAATTTTGTCTGCTCTTAAGATCTTTCAAGATGCAGGGGCGGGGGACCTTGAAGTAACCTCACTGAAGCTCCGAGGTCTGCGGACTTCACAGAGATCCGGGGAACCGATGCTCCGCCAGGGACAAAGCCTTCGCCCTGGCAGGTAGCTTGAATGTGCAGGGGCAGGAGGGAGTTTAGATTCTCATGCCTTTTTCATAGGTTTTTCTTGCTTGCCTGTTCAAACTAGTAAAATGGGGTAAGCAAGACAAGTTTGAAGCGTGACATGTTACTCTGAGTCGCGAAGCTGGGAAAGGTGTGCTTGCCGCAGAGTAACATCCGCGTTTGCCTTAAAGAGCGACATATTGGGGTACTGTGTCAGGGTACGTGTGCGTTGCTAGTTATGGGATTCGATCGCAACTGTTGATTGCTGCTTGTATCGCATGAGCATAGATGCACCAGCTATTATCTCAATGCGACAACCGGTTTGTGCTCCGGAGCCCAGACTCCCACCTACTTCACAAGACAATTTTCAATTCGACGCTCCAAAGCCCAGCTAGGCCTAACCACCCTTCTTGGTCCCTCAGGCAACGAAAGTGAAAATGCTGTGGGATGATGAGCTCCCTGGCCAAGCAGGCTTAACCTGAACTTGCATAGTTGTTTGCATCTCTTAGATATTTTTCTGGGCTCATTGGCTTGAAGCAGTGTTTGGAGTGATGTTCAGTTGGTCAGCTTAGCATTATGACACTTATGAGTTCAAGCGGTTGACCTGAATTATCGGAGTCTCTTCTAATCTCTTCACTCAGTTCAGAGCAGTGCCTTTCCAGGCTCTTGTTAGGCTTTTGCCAGCCAAAAAGTGTCACTCAAATGTCATGCCGCAACCATGGCCAATCTGTCATGCAAGCTGATCGAATCAATGCTGTAGTCAGTCCCAGGCACAAGCTTGTAGCTTGCCTGCTGCTGTATGAGCATTCATTTTTTACGGTGCTTTAGGTTGCAAGGCGTCGGAGATGATGTTTCATCATGCTGCTTCAGTCATAGTGCCTCTTCACCTGTATGCCTATGGCTCAGTAGACGGAGTCGAGTAAGTTCTTATTTCACAGAAGACTGCAGCGCGACGCCAAGGTTTCTGTACATAGGTGCCGTGCTGGACGTGGATGCTGGCAACCAGATCATTGCAAAATTCACGGAGCTCTGCAAAAGGGTTTGTAGGCTATGCAAGAAGTCATGTAGCGGAAGTGGTTATTAAGCCCATGAGTCTTCAGTAGTACCTATTATGAAGCCTTTCGACGAGGCCCTCCCCACAATGCATCGAGGAAATCTTGCGCCACTGGAGATTCACAACATACCCATACCCGGCAGGTCGAAGGTTTTGGGGTGGTGAGGTTACAGAATCTCAGCCCACAGTAGCACTACAGGGCATCCCAATTCTGGCAGTTTGGTGAGGTGTGGTGTTATGTCCAAATTTTTCAGGATTTGAGGTCTAATTGGAACCCGGCATAGAGCATCACAGCGCGGTACATTTGTGCCGTTAGTTGTTCTCATTTGAAACAATTTGTGGCTGGGCACTCAAACTTACGTGTGGCAGCATGAGAGGAGCGCAATTCGCCCATCTTCCACACTGACTCGGACTTCGAAGTCTTCCTGGATCCAGCCACTGGTTGCCAAGCAATTTTTATCTCGAAGCAGTCTTTGCACTTTCTGAACAGAGATGCCGCCGTCTTGTTTTCGTGATGGCCATTGTAACTACACTGAACCGCAACCCATGCAGTGCCTGACTGCCTCGCGCGTAGCTGTGCCGATCCTCCCAGTATGCTCAACGTACCCCGCAGAAGAACCATGAGCACCCGGCTCTGCGTGGATGCTTGTGCTACGCTGGGTTGCGCTTGGCCTTGGTCTCAAGGTTGAATTCGACGATCAGGGTGAATAATGTTGCAACGCCAGAAAACACAATTTTTTACTGGTGCACTTTTCCTTCAAGTGCCCTTGCAATCGGTCCATGACGAGTTCGGAGTGTGAAGATAGACTGCACTGCTGGAGGAGGCCGCCTCTTTATGAGACTCACATTTTCATGTGCAGGTTCATCGCCACACATCAAACCTGACCCTGCCACTGACAGGTAGCTCTGTATGTAATACGGTGCAGTCACTCGAAGACAACCATCCAAGGCCGGTTGCTGCCACGGTTACAAGGCCGTCCTGGTTCGGGAATTGATTTTTTTTGAATCCTCCATGCCTTGCTTTGATAATCTAGAATTGCACTGCTGAAGCACTGTGTCTTGGAATTGTGGGATGCAAGGAGTGCTTTCCGTTCATGGCCTGACGTCGCACAACCGAAGAACCTCAGATTCATGACATCAACAGGCTTCCCAAATTCGGCCAGTGGATTGCCAAACCATGTTGAAAGGTACAGAACGTAATCAAGGTAATAACCATCTCCACCTTGGCAGCCCTGCAAGTCGTGAATGCATGACGCGCTTGAAGTGTCAGACATGAATCCATAGGTTCTCTACAATGCGACCATGCGACTTGCGACTTGATACCTGCTGTTGTGAAAGGAGATTCAATTTCCGTAGAGCCGCAGAAGAAATCGTGATAGCGTAAACCATTTACTTTCCAACGCCACATCTGTAACGCCAGAGCCAGCAATCCTATCACAAGAGAGCCAGCTTTCAAAAACGTCATAACGTCCAACTCAAACCCCGATGTAAGGAGCTTGAGATGAATGCCTTGAACACGGTCAGAAGCCCAGATGTGTCTTCTGAATGGTTTGGAGGTTGCGCAAGGTATATGTTTAACGCTTCCAGATCTTTCACTTGACTTTTCATAGGATTTCAGCATGCCTGCGGCTGCCTTTTTAGATTTACAATTCGAATGAGGGGGTCGGAGTACTCAGACCCCGCCAATATCCCGACGTCCAGGGAAAAGCCGAGATCCTGCGTGATATCCCAAAAAAGCTCAAAACCTTAAGAGGGTGGCTGAGTGCTGAACTCTAAAAGGTCTGGAATCTGCTGCTGGACCGACCGTATGCTGATGAGGGCAGTGAGTTCAGCGGCCGCGTGGCCAAGGAAGGCAGGCATTTGTAGTTGCTTCAAGTTTCACTGGCTGGGTTTGGGTTTTTGACAGCCTCAAATGCTTTAGCTATAAGTTCACTTTCAGATGAGGGGCCCTGGAATGTATGCCCTTGACTCACACGCGAGGTCTTTGAAGAATTCATGATCAGGGCTCCTCCCCAGGCGGTCGATTCGTGTCGCGAGCTCTTCGGGTGCCATTCCAGAACACATCTTTCCATTCATTCTCCAGCAGAAGTATGAAGCCAGGGAGGGGGCTTGCGCCAATGGACTGCCAGGAAAGAGAGAGAGAGAGGCGTTCCTAGCTCAAAAAAGGTGTCTTTTGATTTTTGATAGCAATCTTGCCTCACCAAGGTTTCAGATGTGCCCAGCATGCCCAAGCCAAAGCTTGTGATGTCGGCACAGGCGGCTCCAGGTGCACTGCGCACCCGCCACTAGCACGTAAGAAGGCACGGGCCAGGCTAGGAAAAACCAAGGCAGGAACATCTCCCAATCAAAAACATTCTGAACCTCGGAACTGCAATCATGATCCCACTGTGAATGCGCGATCCTTGAACGGTAACTACATTCCAACCTCATGCAACCTGCTAGACACTTTCCTAAAGTTCTTCGAACATAGGAACTACCTGCAGGTCAGTCTCAGCATTGGGATGTCCGAGCGCAGAAGACAGCGGTGAAGGTAACCAAAGGCCGGTGCATCATTCCTCTTCCGAGCAGTTCTCTTTTCCCATGCCTGTGCGGCATGTGACAGTCTGACACAGCTTACAGACGTAAGGAAGCCTTGTTACGTCCGAACTAACTCCCACTCCAGACACCGGATGACACCGAAGCAACAGAAACAGGCACGTCGCCCGTTCCACCAGAACAGCAGAAGCGCGACTGTTCTAAGGACTGGACGCTGTTGGAAGGCTCATGTGTACTGTAACACTAAACTGCATAGCAGATCTCACGGAGGACCTCTGATAGTTCCACACATTGTCCACGCAAGGGGGGAAAGTGGAAATACATAGAATGACGTCAGCTCGCTCGCATCTCTTGCATACGCAGCAAAATGAACCAGAGAGCCAATTCTTCGAAGCGACTGGATTGACCCTGGCGCGGAGGTCAGATCGGAAATCCGGTGCGGGCATCGCAATGGTGCTGTGAAATCGCCTTGGCGCCTGGAGCCCAAGGCATTCGGGCATCATTTGGTTTGGAAGGGCTTGTGATCAACATCTGAGGGCTCCAGGACTACTTGGTACCATGAACATGAAGGCTCCTCAGGCAAACGGACGCACAAGCTCTGAATCAAGCTCAAGGGGGCACGGACACCACTGGCATGGATGTGCCCGGGGCTTGGCCAAGGCATTCAGACAGTCTTCCGAACGCGCCATGCCGGGCGGCAGTGCCCTATGCCGCTTTGCTGACATTGCGAACATGGAGGCAGTGCTGGGCTCTGGCAAATCTTCTGCAAGTGGTGAGGTTCTGAAGAGCGTAAGAAGGTGCTCCCCTTATTCACCTCAATCTAAAGACCGCAATACCGTACGAGGCCGAACCTGCTGAACCCTACACCTATCTGAACCTGAAAATGCATGATCCCTAGCTGCTGATAAGGTTGGAGGCTGCTGGCGAATAAACTTCAGCCGCGTGGTGTCTAAGCTGCAGCGTAAGAGGATGCAATCCTTGGAAAGCTGAGAAAACAGGTATACCCTTATTCGGAGCTTATGCAGACACCAGCAGGGCGCGAAACCTTCTCGCCAGGTCTTCAGCTTGGAGTTGTCCATAGTTTATTTGCAGCAGTTTCTGCCGATTTGTGGCGCGAAGGTGTCAAGCCCGGACCCGCGCAGTTGAAGTTTGTAAGTTAGCCCCGCCTAAGGTTGCAAGCACTTGAGGCAGCAGAATTGTCTGTAGCTCCTGACATCTGATTGAGGAAAATCAGGAACATTAGTTGCGTCAGATCGTGAGGTCGGGCTTTCTTTCTCTTATTACATGACGTAGCCCTTTCTTCCTGGCTCGCAGCTTTGAAATGCGTGGCAAGAAGGCAGGAACCCCTGTTGTTTGTCATTTCCCACACTGCGCTTCTTAGGACCCTGTTAATTCATGTTACTGACCAGTACGACAGCATTTCTCAGTGCCGGCCTAGGAGAAGCAAGGCAACGTGAACTGGGCTGCTCGGCAGTCTGGCACACTAAGATTGAAGGGGTCAGCAGAGGGTTTGTCATGCAGAGTGTAGAGTTTCTGGCTCTGCAGATCTGCAGATCCAACTTACTCTCATGAGAGCTTCTGCGAGCCACGCGCTGCAAACCAATGAAATCATGTGTATGCACATGAATTGCAGTTGCTTTGCATGAAGCTGCTTGCCTTAGGCTTTAACACATCTATTCTGCATATTTTTCGCCATTGTTGTTTTGATGCTATCATATCCCTAAACCCTTGGTGCATTCCTGGGTCTCTGCATGTAACCTGGGCCGTACCCTAGTGGTATCTCTAAAGGATCATCTTGAGGAGAAAAGGTCCCACAAAAAAAGAAATCTTGGTGCATTTAGGAGACATGCAAACCATGTGCAACAGTGTGCAAAAACTCTAGACTTGCTACATTTTATGCTGGCCTTGCTCCGACTCCTGTTTTGCGTGGCCTTAGGGTTTAGGGTTAAGGTTTTAGAGTTCAGGGTTTAGGGTGGATGTAGATGTAGGTATACGGAGCCATGAGGAGCCTGACGAGTGGCCTTACTCCGAAACCCCTCTCCGACCCCTCATGAGACCGAACGAGCCGCGGAAACCGACTGCGTTTGAGTAGCACTCTCCGCGTGACTGTTGATCAAGATAATGTGCATCACTGTGCAGCCTGCACTTGGGACATGCAGAGAAGTGCAGTCAGGAGACACACTTCCGGGCAGGACGCTCAAATAGATTGTTAGGCATCACCTCTAGTGATCCTAGTGTCTGGCTCATCAATTCCAATAGGCTGTCTGCACTACGATGCATAGCTGCACGCAGTGATTGCAGCTGCAGGCTGCCAGGGAACACGCATTCCAGAGCTTGTCATCCTTAGTTCGTAAAGGCCAGAGAAATCGCGTGAGAAATCCGAGGCTAAGTAGTACAATCTGCCCCAATACTCTATTCAGCTCGGTATGTTGCCCTCCCAATTTTCTTGAGACAAGGTCTGGGCGCCGCAAATAGTGTGGACTCCGGCGCAGCAGCGCTATGTGCGACCCCAAGTGCAGGATGCGCAGTGATTGCAATAACTGCCATGATTCACATTGCCGGAAACTCCATAAGTCTTACTGCAATTGGCGTGATCGGGTCAGTTTCAGTATATTACCCCTACTTCTTGTGACTGTTGTAAGTTGCAAGTCTAGGCGGCTGCAATCCTCAGAGTGTAGTTGCGAAATGCGAAAGAAAGGCGTGTGAAACAGAGTGGAGAAGCTGCAGATCCCAAACGCTTGAGAATATTCGTAGCTGTGTCCGTCGCTTTGCCAGAAGAGCTCCTGGCATGCTACACAAAAAAGTTTCTGGAGCCGGCTTTACTTACATCGTCGAAAAATGTCTGGTGAAGAAGGCCACTCAGTCCCGCTAAGAATAAACATCTCCCTCGCAATTAAAGATCCGTCAGGAGGCTGTTGGCTAGAGAAAACGTCCCTAATTCCAATGAGACTTCCTGTTGGAGTCAATTAAATGCTGGTGGAATCAATTAAGCCGTAAGCAAAATCAGAAAAACAACGAATGAACAACACCTGAAATCGAGCTGCGACGAATTTGGAATTCAATTAAAGTTAAATAGAATCAAAGTACAAACTAGTCAGCCATCAAGTTTACATCAGCTAAGATAACAGCAGTTGAAAACTCGTGAGAATCAGTTTAAACGCTAGTTCAAAATCCATGGCAATTCTCATGAACTTTAATGAATGTTGATGGAACATGAAGCAACATTTAATTGCAAGAAAACAAATGTGTGAAATGGATTCAAAATTATCTAGAGGCTAGTTGAGACCAATAGACACGGATTAAGACCAGTTTAACAATTACTTGACAGCCATTTCAAATCTCGTGAAAACCCATGAATATTTCCATAGAGACCAACCAAAATCCAATTGACATCGACAATAGTCTGATTAACATCAGTTTAGAATCTATCTATTCACAATCAAGTAGAGGCCTAGTCAACATCACCTGAAAACTCAATAGGATTTCTGCTACATCTAATCAAACGCCAAGTGCAATCTCATGGACATTCATGAATATTTTGTGGAGAGCAGTCAGGAGCCAATCAATCTCAACTAACCTCTCATGAACATCAAGGCAACATCTAATTTACAACATTTTGTTAGAAACAAAAGGGGAAATACAGGAGGTCTGTAATTTCAATTAGATTTCCGGATTGATTACTTTACGTGAATTCCTTTACAGAAGCCTGATAGAAACAGTAAAAAACGACGAAATCAAGGAGCTTCCCAAAACTTTGTTACTCCTTGTACCGACTCCCCGAGTTACTTCAGCAGGCCCCCTACTTCAATATGAGGGGATCCTAATCTTGGCCCTTTTAGATCTACTCTTCCGGGACCTTCCAGATTTTAGGCTTTTCTGGGCGCAGTATTTATTATTCGGGTGGTCTATACGGAGAAAGGGATCAAGGTTCGATCTAAATTTGTGTGATGGTTGAGCCGTATCACCAGCATCAGCACTTTCCAAGACAATTTAGCAGTGTGTGTGGGGCTTTTATTGCAAGTGTCGGCGACCTGGATCTAGCAGTTTTGGTGGGGGAAGGCATGTCGTCTGACTGTCTACTCTATACTTGGCCGTTGCCTCGTTCAAAAGAATCGCTCCTGGAGCACATGCCCACATCTCCGGAACAAAGGCTCAGACTTTTGTGAGGCATTCCTCGATTATGTTGACTCCGATAGGCCTTTTCTAGCAGGGCTTGCAACATCGAGCTTAGTTGTACAACAGTGATGATCAGGGCGGAAGCAATTCCTCCTTCCAGCCTAGGCAGGCCAAGTCAACATGCACCTGCCAGACGCCTGGGGTTATGCGACTTCCCAGCAAGACGTGCTGGAACTTGTGTCAGTCACCTGGGTGATCTTTGAAGTGCTTTCATATCAGGTCTGGTTGATCTGTCCAGAGTTCCAATCAATTACCTACCAACTTGTGGAATTGAAGACGCTTTGGCATTTCTAATCGGGATAGCAATCCAAATACGAATCTGCAGAGATCTCATCTCTCAGAACACAAGAGACAATAGATCCGAACTCTTTCGCCAGCCGGCAAGTTTGTTACAATAGCACTGGCGCAAGGGAGGCCACTCAGACATCATCTGCTGAACTCAGGTTCACCTTTGAATCAGAACCGCTGTGCCTCTCCTGGCATGCTAGTAGATTTCTTAAACTTAGAGGTGCAAGTTCCTTGGACGGAAGCGCTGCCAGGCCGCTTTATGCAAAGTGTCTCATGCATTGGCGTGCCTTTGCCTTCAGGTAGTATTCGCTGACGAGGCCAGATTGCGCACCAAGTTGAAGCAAATGTCTTGTGGCCATGATCATGGCCGTGCTGGTGGTGATGATGATGAGGATGGTGATAATGACGATGAGGACGTTCCGGGGGTAGCGGTTGGTTGGGCTCGGCAATACCCTCCTATTTTGCATGTTTCGTATGAGTCGCCTATGTGTTGAGCCTCGCTGTTATTGCTGTAGCACGCGTAATGGATACTTGCTAGGAAGCGATGATGATGATGATGATGATGATGATGATGATGATGACGACCACGGCGACGATGACGGTGGTCATTATCTTCTTGGCTACAATTGCTTGCCTTAGTAGCTAGCAGTAGCAGTCACTGCGTAGCATTACGGGCGGCACCGCCTGCAGTGGCAGCAGTAGCGGCCACGGTGGTGGCAGTGGCAGTTGCCCCAGCACCAGCATCCAGCATGCAACAGCCGGCACCTGCAGTGGATCAGACTCAAGGGCGTGTGGGCGACCAAACAAAGCAGTCTATGTGCCGGTCGGTCTGCCGCTGAGGCAACTAATGTCATGTGCGAAAGCAATGCAAGGTAGGAAGTACGGGTTTTCGAGTCTCATGCCAAGGGAGGGATTCTGGATTCTTTGCCCTAGGACTGCTAGCTGCTAGAAGCAGCGCAGGCGCTTTTTCTCGCATTCATGCATTGGTTGACGCTTCGTCAAAACTAAGAGTTGGGCAGTGAGTACTCTAGTGAAGGTAATGGTCCAGAGGTTGCTAAGGATTCTAGCTGGAGAGCTACTGTTATCAAGTCACCGGAGGCTGGTTGCTTGGCTGATGGTACTCCGGCCGAGGACCAGATGAGATGATTCTTGGGGACAGGGTGCGAAGCCTTGCCAACCTATATTCCACGGGTCAAGTGGTAGAGCAGCGCTTTGCTAGTGACAGAGAAGGAGTCAAGAGCGACAAGAACCTCCGTCCATATCCCGCTCCATTGCACACTCGCAAGTGTGCTTTTTTCAAGTGTTGTCGTCATTGGGACCCTCACTTGTCTAGGAACTCCTGCGGCCCGGAGCTTCTTGCTGAAGTCTGTGCATCCTCAACCCCGTGTAACGAGGGGATCATTTTTTCATGGAACCATCGCACCAAGTGAAGGAGTTCCGAGATCCCACGTGGCCCGCTCGGCATGCCGCTGCTTGCCGGGAGCTTGGGATGTGGTGTCGGGTGGATTCGGACGGAGAGAAGACAGGCGTAATGCCAGCACAGCTGTAGCAATTGGCAGTCATCGTGCAATCATTGTGGTTCTAGTGTGCCACCCTCGTGGGTTGAACCTGTTCCAGGACTTGAGGTCCAAACTCGCGAGGGCTGTTTTGCTCATGGACGTTCTACCGTGGTGGGGCTCATAGGTATAAGCACCCGTTCTGCGAATTCAGCTTAGAAGCTTTACTGGAAATCCAGCTTTGGTTTGCCGAGCTGTTGTGACTGCTTCAGCCATGATTTCTTCGCACCGTTGGTGTTGAGCTTCTGCGGCTTGAGTCCAAACAGCAGCAAGGAAGCTTGTTGATGCCAGCGTTTGGGTTAGAAATCTAAATCAGTGCAAGCCCAGGCTGTAGTTTGCATCCGCTTGTTTGTCACACGCATGCTTTGCGCCTTGCTGACACGGGCAACCTGTTGTTACTTGTTGCTTGACAGAGGCCAGACTGATACAGAATGGTAAGGGACTGGGACCTGCCTCAGAGAAAATGCAATGTTACGCGCCCAATGGCAGAAAGATGCAGAAAGTAACACATAACAACCATCATGAATGCTAGATACTGCTCTCAAATCGCTCAGGCGTGTACTACGCCTGCAAAGAATTCCGAGAGGCCGCCGGAGCCATGAATGCCAGCTGATGTTGCCCGATATGCGCACTTGTTATCCATACCTGAATTGTTTGAAGCATGCCAATGCCATGCAAGGCCTTGACCGGGAACCTCAATTTCTTCTTCAAACTGTCTGTCCATGATCTGATCACAGCTTGACAAACAGTTGCCAAGTCCAGCGTGCGCAGGCCACGGGGCACTACCCAACCACCTTCTCGGCGCTGGAGGATTACGAGAGCGGCCGATTGCCGCTGGGATTCGAAGATGAAGAGCAGCTGTTTGCCAGTTTGCTATCACCCACCCAACGCCTCAAACCCTGCGAAAACGCAACAACTCTAAGCCCTAAAACTCTCAAGCCTCAAAACTTAAGCTTCGCACTCCCCAGGAAAGGCCAAGCTCCTCCCCGTAGAGAAAGCCCTCAACCCCAAACTCCCAAATTCTCAACTCGCCCGTGCCCAACAAACCCTGAACTTCTTAATATATCTTAGACACTCAAACCCCAACCCTGTCCTACCCTCACCCCCTAAGGCTGACAAGCCCCAGAATCCCTTCAGCGCCAAAAAAAACGCGAAACCTTAACCACTGAAGCCTGAAAGCCCGAAGCTTTGACCCGGAAGCCCCAGCGCCCTGAACCCAAGCCATCCAAGCCCCTAACCATGTAGCTTCCTCGACATTACACCGCCACACGCTAAACTTAAAAGCATATAACGCCTAAGCTCTGAACCCCCACATGCTCAAATGCATACCAAAAAACTGAACTCCAAGATCCTAAGCACTGAAACCGTTTGCACAAAACCTCCACACCCTCAACCCTAGCTTAAGCCTCTCAATCTCGCACCCGACACCGTCAAACCCTAGACGTGCAACTGCACACCCCCAAACTTCACGCGTCAACCCCAACTACTAGAATAGTATGACTACACATTCAAAAGGTTGGATCAGTCTGCGCATTGATTCAAACATTTCTTACAGCGTGTTCGCCGAACTTGCCCATGACCCTGACTTAGATTCTTGACCTTAGTCGGGACAGGTTTGCTTCGTTTCTTGAACCACTCTGTTGCTCTTTAGTGTTTGTGTTTTTTCTCACGCTTCGTACTTAAGGCAAGCCTGACAAGAATCTGCATGTGGATTTTAACTGTCGTCATGACAAGTCTGCGGGTTGTTTGGGTTCAGCATCCAGACAGCCCGGATCAAGAAATGGACTTGCTCTGCTGGGCCACTCAGGTTTGGCGTTCAGATGCACGCATCACTACACTAAGGGCAGCGATGTATGACACGCCCACAAGGGTTGCCTTACACAAGCTTGGGCTTTCTAGGCTGCTTCAGCATCTTGTTCGACTCTTTCCAACCCCACAACATGATGAACACCTTATGCAAACGGGGAACAGATGCGCCGAACCTGTATTCTGAGCTTGTTCATTTCTAGCATTGTTCATTCCCCTCCCCTTTGGCTCAGTTCGGCGGAGTTTGCAAATTGAAGCCAGGCTCCGGGGTGCGGCGCTTGCTGGTGCCTCCGTGAGCTTTGCAGCAAGGCATCGGCTATGTTGGGCTTGTTGAAAGGATCGGCCATCCATTGCTACAGTTAGGTGTTCAGATGTCAAAGCCTGGATCCATCTTGGGTGCCTTGTGAGCAACTTGAGAGCCCTGGTATTGGTTGAACTTGTATTCACTCAAGCTGCAAAAGCAAATCGCAAAGCATCACACCGCTTGGCATAGTCCTTCAGCAGCCTCAAGCCAAACAGCTGCTGTTTGGTGGTAGGTTTTGTTGCTGCAGGTAGTGCTGGTGAAGTTTGCCATTCGTCTTTTGCTCGCGCTAGATAGTGGATCATCGCTTTCTGGGTCGGGGAATCACGCAGTGCAGAAATTCCTGGCAAGGGGGGACGCATACGTGGCCACTGTAGCAGCTGGCGGCTGCCGTCTCAGGTGTTATGCCCTGTTAGTAGTAGGAGGCATGACATCTGCCCCCAGAGTCAGGGGCCCTGTGATGAGCGCTTACAGTAACCATTAACCTCGTCCGTGTATGGCATAGTATCCGCCATGCACCAAGAAAGCCGCATGTTTTTTGCCCCGCGCGTCATGTAGGTAGTAATGCAGATTTCTGGCTCTCCGCTATCTCATTTTCTTCACCAACCAGCATTTTTGCTCAAGATCTCAATGTGGCAAGCTTAGGACGGCGGTTTTATGCTTGATCATGGCTTCTGGTCAACTGCTGTTTACTTCTGTATCCATTACGCAAGTAATAAGACAACTGAGAAATTTCAAGTGCTGTGCAGATGGTGGAGTGAACTCAAGCTCAAGCTCAAGAACATTCAAGAACGATAAGCTGCAATAAGCTGGGGAAGGTCAGTTCTCAGCCTAGTCAGATCCCCCTCTCGTTTATTATTCGGGGAAACGCTCGCATAGACGCGCGGCCATGGTGGAAGCACCTGCAAAGATGCGGAGGCACCTCGTGATCTGCTCAATGACACGTTGTGGAAGTACATTTCAGCATGCTTTGGGGCTTCTGGATCCATCCTTTGCTGCTTCCAGCGTGTGCTCTCAGAAGCCTTTTTGGGGGCCTCTTGGTGTGGGCTCTCTAAGAGGATTTCTGGAGGGGACTGGGTGTCGAGTTCGAAAGTCTTGCTTGCCTTAAAAACTTCCGATGAGTCAAAACCCGCAAGCATCGGGGAGGCGCCCAGCAGTTCCCGAAAGCTTTGCACAATTCAGCCCCTGCAAATTTTCGCACTGTGAGCCATGGGCCCCTTGAAGCCTGTAGCTTTAGGTTTTGGATTTGCCAGACGACGCTTTATGATGACTCAGGCTGTTGCGTTCGCGCTGTAATAGAGTGGATCCAGTGCCAGCACCTGTGAAGCAGCAACGGGCCATCACTGAGAAAAACAAGCTTCAAGCATTGATCAGTGCCTTTGGACAGCCTAACTTGGTACATGCCCTAGCCAGTTTGTGAACCAAGAAGCAGAGACGGGGCACTTAAAGGAACTCTGCTACATAGATGAGAGGAGAATGACAATTGTCTCAGGGCATATCTTATAGATGCAAGACAGCCTTTTTGAGCTGGAGCTACAGTGGCGCAGGCCATATGATATTATGATCAGCACAGTACTTGTAACACCTGCAAGCAAGCAGAACTGCTTTGCCACCACAGGCCCGGGCTTAGTATCACATTTTCCAACTTTCGCCTTTCATGGAAGGGAACCCATGGCTATGTATGATTAAATCGCCATTCAAGAATCTTCCACCTTTGCATGTTTGGAGACTATGCACAGCCGTCGTCGCCCACCCTCCACCGACAAGTCATATGGGGCACGGCTCCTGCAGATGCTATGTACAAGAAGCAAGCACGTCAACATTCGAGAGAGGCAGAATTCTCGCTTGCGTTCAGCAACTGACTTCGATGTCTTGTTAAAGGTCCACTAGCCGCTGGCCGCTGGCCGCGGCCGCGGCATTTTGCCTCCAAGGTCCGTTTTGGGCTTCGAGCCCTTGAGGGCTTCCAAGCAGGACTCTGTAATTGTTGTATGGTTGTGTCTGCTTACGTATGTGAATGTCAAAGAATGATGTCTTAGGCATTGGGACTGGGACTGGTGTGGTGATTATTGTCGGCCTGTGTTTGTCTGTGTGTGTGGAGTCTAAGTTTGTCTATGTCGTGAACGTCTAGGGATGAGGATTCACGCTTCAAAATGCATCCTTTGCAGCGAGACTTTGGTTACGCACCTGTTAAGGTGCGCTTTCATTTATCTTGAACCCCCGATTTGCATACCGGAAGCGTATGCAACTCATTTTCGGGTCAGAGCCATCTCCTCCAAATCTCTTAGCAATGCACGTTGCTGCCGCGCAAGCTTAGCCTGAGCCAGGCGCCAGCAATGGCTTCGCAACTCCGGGGGCCCAGGCTCCAACCAGCGCCTTGGCTCGAGCGTGAAAGCTCGCACCCAGGTTGTTAGAAGCATACGGCTAGATTGACGGCCTACGTGCATTGACAATGATAGCTATAGGTGAGACCAACGCGTTTGAGGAAGTCCATAATTAACAGAGTTTATCCGGCTACGTCTACGTTGCTTGACGAGACGTGCTCTGAAACTCTTACCTGCCTTCTGCAACTCTGGTTGGTGAAGGCCTTGCAGCAAGCCTTTCTCTCCTGTGATTGCGCAGATCAAACGGGCCATGACAGGCAAGCGGAAAGTCATCTCTGCAACACACGAAAGTTTGTCGATCAGAGACTAGCTGTTTCTCGAGAGCAACCAGCTCCCTTCTTGTTGAGGGGATTTGTTTTCAATGCTGCCTGAACCCCAGCTTAAAGCACTCCATAATCCTGACCCTTTTGACGATGCCCTTGCTGCCGGGGACAGAAGCTTTCAAGGCTGGAGTGCAGCCACGCGGTGGGGGCTTGCACCGGTGCCCGCGCGGAAGGTTCCGGAGAGGCCATAAAGCAATGCCAACTCACCCGACATGATGCTACGGGATCTCCAGTAGGATCCGAAATTAAGTTTGTTCCTTAGGCCAGCTGAATCCCCAACACCTTCGCACCCTTTTGTCGCGTACGCAGTGTGGACAGTCTTGTTTCCATCTGCGGTAGTGAGACCGCTGGGTTCATGGTGTTGATAATTCGTCGGAAGAAGCAAGCAAGCAGGCACTTCGCTATATCGTGTGGTGGCGTGATGTGGCGTGCCTTTTACCCAAGAAGCGAAAATCACTACTTGCGGCCCCGTCCACATTCCAAACCCAAAACAGCAGCCAGTGGCTCTGCTTGTCATCGAAGAGCTACAGCCTCAAGTCCTGAGATCATTGTGCCAGGACGTATAGCGCACGAAAGGCCTTCGTTACTCCCGTTTCTGGCGCTGGAGAGGCGCCCTCACCGTCCTTGGGTTTAGACGTTGGAAGGATCGAACCGGCTATCATGCTAGCAGCTGTCGGCCTTTAGCTCTGTTTTCTGGAGACTTCGCTGGGGATGGTCAAAAGTTCGGCGTCAGGTCTTCCAGAGGTTTGCCCGGCAACCAAGTTGTGTTCCGCTTTAACCTTCGTGGATAAATGGTCAGATGAACTTTGACCCTCACGGGTACAGCATCGTTTGACACACCTTGCTTTCTGAACTTCAAGCATGGGCTTTCTGGTGTGGGCTCAAACATAACATGGTCGCCTGGCTTGCAATCACAGCAGCTACGTCTGGAGATGATGCCAATCCTTTACCCCTGAGTGTGCCCGTGCTCATTAGGAGCCCAAGACCATTAATGTGCCAGGCTTTGGCGACGGTTTTGGTCAGTGAGGTTGGCGACAAGCTTCTTTGCTCAACAGCTTGTCATGATGTTAGGTCTCTTAGTTTGGTGCAGAACTTGCGGATGCACGTGCGCCAGTACAGTTCAGGTTGGACAGCAGTCAAGTTGTAAGCGGGTTGAAGCCTATAATCCCAACCAGCGGTGTCAAGGCACAGGACTGCGACAGGGTTTGAGGGAATACTCAGTGCTCGCAATTTCCCGATTCCCCGAGTCAGTATCCCGTAGCTTCAGCTCGCTCGCTATGCCTCTCTCTCCCTATTTATCCTTCGCTCCCTTTCTCTCTACATGCGGTCACACGGGCAATGGGGACATGTGCCCAGCCAATCGCTAGTTGGGATGCTGGAGCTGAAGCTGTTCTCCCCGCTGCCTTCACCTCAGGACATTCTTCCTCACAATGATTCTAGCCATGCGCAGCAGCCGCAGGCGGTCGTGAGGGTTGGCCGATGGAGTTAATTTGAAACTTTTAATCCAGCATTCAAACGGACAGTTTGTATTGGCGATATTGGCTCCAGAGTTTGGAGGCAGGGTCAGCCTTACATCATAGATCAGACTACGTACTCATGTTGAGAGGGTCCATAAAGGGTCTCAGGACCTGCAGGGTGCCAAATAGCGACAAGGGTTCTGTCACACTTTGTTACGAGAGAGTTCCACTCAGCTACGTGGGACTTGCTTTTGGCATTGTCTCTCGTAGCTGCACAGGATAGAAAGGAGGGTGGAATTACATGAAATTTCATGGTTGGCACTTGAAATTAAGGACTCAAGTCAGCAGTAGCATTTAAACGCCTACTTGCTAACAAGGGCCGGGAAGTTTGATGCCTGAAGCCGCCGGAGGCTTTCTGCAGCTTAAGACAATTCCCGGGTCTGTTCTTGTCAGGAATCGGGCAAATCATCAGCCTTTAGGTGTTGCCTTGTTGTTCCGTCTCTGCATGCGTTCGCAACCCGCTAGTGGAAATAAGCCTGAGTCGTGCAGGCTTGCCTTGCTCAGCTCACAATCCGCGCTTTGGGCACCTTGGAAGCATTGGAAATTACAACCCAGCTACATCCTTGTGATTTTTAACCAGTGCCGAAGGCAGGTTTGTCAGTATAAAGGCCCTGCTGCGGAATGTAAGTTTGAAGCTCTGTCGTCAGTGAGCGAGCACTGGCACCCAAATGCCCATCCAATCACATGCTACTTGGACTGCTTAGTTTTTCTGAGGTGTAGCATAGCTTTTTGTGCAAAAAGATGTGGTGGCTACGTCTGCTGGATTTGTCGGCTAGACTTTCAACTTGTGACGCTGCGAGGTCATGATGTTCGTTTCAACCAGTATCGGAGTCATGCTGCGGAGGCCGGGCGGGGACGGAGAATTGGTTGCTGATGCGTTCCAGGTTAGCCTCGAATGCCGAAGTGAATCGATGGCACGTGGAAAGGGTAGGTTATATCATGGACGGAGCGCTTCCATGGATTCTTCGCCAACGTGTGGCATACGGCGGAGGCATTTGAAAGGCAAAGACAGCTTCTGACAAATCTGAAATGCGCTGGGCTGTGGAGATTGGCAGGCTTACTCTGCATGTGAGCAGCGGCTCCATCATCCGCTGGACTGCAGCAGCGACACTGACTGCACATTTTGATTGTGAGGAGAGTTCAGGCTTAGAGTCTGCCGCTCTGTTGTCTTGGATGCCTTTGTGATGTCTTGAATACGGGGATGCGACATCGGATGCCAGAGTCCTATGATTGACAGCGGCCTTCGCTGGGAACCCACGTCCCAAGTAGAAAACGTGCAGTCCATAGACCTAAGGCACTAATGATTCTCTTCGGACTCCAGTCCTTCTGGGACACCCTGAAAGGCGCAGCTGCGGAAGATGTTTGATTCCGAGATTCATGCTCAACTGGCCAACTGGGCTTTTGCAACCTACTCATATGTTCCCTCGTTCCTGATTCACTGTACAGGCCAATCACACATCTGATTGACATGGGGTTCTTGCTGAAGCTTCCCCCAGGCAAATCTTGTGCTTCAGCCCTTCACTCTTGATTTTTCTTATTTGTGCAAATGAAGAAACATCAAATGTTCTTGTTGCAGCGCGTTGCCCACAATCCCCGGCAGCAACGAGATCATGTGCAGGTGGCTCGGACGACGATGAGGATGAGGATGAAAAGGGTGACGCGCAGTCAGACTCTTTGCTGGCACAGCCTGCAGCCTCTCCGTATCCATAAGCACTGAAGCAGAAGTTGCACCAAAGCTTCTCTAGATTCTACAGCGGCGCAAACCACGCGGCCCTCCTGAAATGCTTGCACCCTGCTGGAGTGGATGACCTGAGTTCCTGTGTCAGCACGACATCAAATCCACTGATCCGGAAAGCAACCAAGACCTTTCGAGTGAGTACAGAGCGGAGAGAGTTTCAGACAATTGCACTTTCAAGTGATGTCATGTGCCTGTTCGTTCTGCTTCCTGCCGCGGTGAGAACTTCTGTGAAGACTCAGGAAATTGACGGCGTCCTAACCAAGGCGCCGCATAAGACACTGGAGTAGTTTAGGGAAGCAGGATTTCAATAGCCTCAAGTGTACCTGAAGTCTTGCGTGACAGGGCTGAACCAGCTAGGTAGGTTATGACACAGGCGCCCTGATCCTCTTGTGCTAAGCGGAACACTACACCTCAACAGGGGCGGTCCCGTGGCCATCACCACCATCCGCACCGCTTCAGCCTCATGTACGCCTTTCGATTTGCTGTCACTCGGCTTCAAGGCGTCCCTTGAGCTACATAGGTGTGAGTGAGCCCACGTGAGTTATTGCCCAGGGGCGCCTACTCTTGATATCTGCGGTCGCAGAATTTACGTAGGGGTTTCCGGTATTTTTTTCGAAGCGTGACACTCGATTGATCATCGTGCTTCCAGTCCCTTGGCCCGAAGCCTACTGCACATTAGATCCCAAAGTCCTCGACATTTAGTTTTGCACTGCATCTCCCTGTTACCATGCCAAACACTTCTCCAAAACAAAAATTCAAACTTGCAACTTACCGTATTGTAGTTAGAAAGCAAGGCCCGTATCTGAAAATGCAGTTTTGCCTGAGTGCTTCTGCTCCGAAGCATCCTCTCCTGAAAGGTACAATTCGTCAGAGCTAGCTTCGCACATGGTCACGAGTCAAAACCCGTTGGTGGAGAACTGATTGCTGAGTATGGATGTCATAAATCTGGAACTCCCTGGCAGCGCCGACCGTCCCACTACCTGGACTATACAAGCAGGATGCGCCCCAAAAGCCCATGCCCACAATTCAAACAGAAACCTATCTTTCGGCCTGCGCCTAAATCTCCATCTCGCTTTTTCTCGCAACATGAAAGACCTAAGCCAGGTTCTTATCTTCCTGGCTGAGTGGGGAGACCGGTCCATGCTAGCAACGATTACGCTGGCACCTGGGCTCTAAAACTGACATGCCAGTCCCCATGGATGGGAAGACTCTTCTCGGGGATCCTGGCACGTGATTAAGAAAGCGTCGACAGTCCATGGGCCTGGATTTAGGGACTGAGCACAAAGGTCTGACTTGACTAATTACCAGGTACGTGGCGCCTGGGGCCCTCTCAGATGTCACGGCTAAGAATTGTGCTCAGTAATTTGAACGTTTAGCCAGGCCTTTGTTTGTGCAGGACTTTTGCCTTCCAAGGTTTCCTTACCCTGACACTATGTAGTCATCAAACTGAACACGTAGAATTCAACTTGATCCAGGAGCCAACCGGGCTAAATGCGTCAAGGAGAAGTGTGACTGGCACTTTCTTGTTCTGCGCCTCTGCAAGGCCACTACAAAGAGCCCGGTAGGCGTCTTCGTCGGCGGTTGCAACTCGTCAGCACAAGGACCTTCAACGCTGAAGTGCCTTTGCAGTTTTCCTTATGTCTGAGCAGCCACACTCCTGATTGCTTGGAGTCATTTTTCACGTCTGGTGCAGAGCAAATGACCTTTTCAATTATCGTGTGCCAGCCAAAGATCCAGGCGCTATGTGCACAGATTGGAAAATACTGATGTATACCGATGTATCATGCCAAGAACTGTCAAAAAGTGAAGTCAGACTTCCTTTGTGGCTCAGGCCTGGGGCATCTCGTAGCTGGTACTTTGGCCGTACTCAGCGGCCACTTCCTCGAGGAACACGCGCTTCGGCAGCAAAGGGCCTGAGTGTTTCAGGGAAATGTTGGATGATTTCTTGTCTACACATTTGCAGAAGTTGTTGCCCGCTTACTAATTTCACCGGCTGAGACAGGTATGTAGTTCAGGCTTCAAAAGGTGTTCATGGTTGGCTTCACCAACCAGCCTCCCAAACAGTCTGGGCCGAAGTGAGAGCAGTCCAGGTTGAGAGCAAGCTGCGCTTGAACATCAATTGGCATCTGGTTGACCTGCTTTTGAACACGAGAGCATAACAGAGCATGGGAAGACTGTCACCTCAAGAGCATGCTCCAGGAGCGAGAACAACATAAGTCGTCGTGGGCAGCAACAACACGTGAACTAAGGTTGGGTAGATCCCCTTCGGTTTTCTTAGCTACGATGCACTCGAAATGTACTGTTGCAAGAAACGCCTGGTCCATCTGCACTCAGAAGTCGCGTCGTTACAAACACCGCAAGGTCAGTGACCGGCTGGTCAAGCTGGTTGGCGGAGCATCTTGCCAGTGTTTGAGAGCTCCACTCTGGCATCAATGCTACACAAGTGGGAAGGTTGGGACACAAGATCACAAGATTTGAAGCAGTTGAAAGGCATTGGATGTGGACGGAAGCCTTTCTTTCCTGAAGTGCAAAGATGTGCAAGGGTTTTACAGCAACCCCCGCAACAAGCCCTTTCTGGTCTTGCAATCGTCGCACCTCCCCACCCTTCGCTCAGGTCCTGTTCATAGGATTTGGGTTGACGACGCTCCTGGGCGTGTACTGATCCATCGAGCCCTGAGTGTGTCCCACTGATCGAATCCACCAAGAATACTCCCATGAGTCCTCTACACCAAGTATGTGTTTTTGCATTTTGCATGCATGCTGCTGACATAGAGTACCTGGTGGGATGTAGGCAGTGGGATGAGGGACTCTGCGACTTTGCAATGCTTAGGATCTGAGCTGCCTTCTGACTTCCTCAAAAGGTTCAAGTCAACATATGCAAGATCGGCAGTGTATGTATGTGGTTCAATTCGCAGACTGTTCGTGGGTTGCAAGCTGCAGAATCAGCTCTGTATTTGAGGGGTTTGTGACGGCTATGGGGACGGCAGAGGTAAGTCGGCGGTGTTCAAATCCTGATGCTCTCAGAACCTGAGCTTGTGGAGCCCGAAGCAGAGGGCAAGGCAATTCGGACACCAGTATGCGCACAGCGGCCCGTCAAAGCGACGGTCGCTGCAGTGGTTCTAGGTTCTACACAAGCCCATGTCTGCATTGCGGCTGCTAGAGCCAAGCGTGCAAAAAGCGTGCTTTGAGCAGGGTCTTCTCCGGGGTTCCTTATTAGTTACAACATTTTGTGGGGCTTCACCTGGTCCGTATTATGGCCTGATTTTTCTCAGAATTTCGGTGGTTTCTTGGACGGCTTCAGGTAGGTTTTGTTTGTTTCAGCTTTTCATGGCTGGCTTCCAGCTGACAGCTTGCGGCCTGTGGCGCACCTGCACGCGGAACTTTTGCAGTCTTGCGGTGTTCTCCCAAGTTCCACGCACCAAAGGCAGATTTCTCGAGCACATTTCTCGAACTTCCCGCTTACCACAGCAACATGAGGATCCTTGCCCTAAAGATTTCAGAGCCGGAGGCCTGCAACTTTGAAATGGCCCCGAGAAGCCCGAAGTCCCTTTCTCTTGAAGCCTGCCCTCTCCAATTGCATTTGTGCCCGAGGCCGCTCAGTACAAATCAACGAGCACCGCCTGCTCACGCTCGTCTGACGCTGGCACGATGGATACGACATGCAGTCCGTGCAGTCCTGAAATCCTGGACTCATCTTGCAGTCCTCGTAATAGGTTTGATCATTTTGTTAAATTCCGAAGAAAGTCCGTGATTTAGAGAAAGCCCCCAACCAACGTAAGGACACCACAAGACTTCAAGATGGTTGGGATGCAAGCCGACAGGTAGTTCTAGCGCCTTCCTTGTACTGACACGTGCAGAAGAGCCTCGAGCACCAATTGACCAAGAAGGAGATGCTCCATAGCTGTAGACAAGAATCAAGTTGTAGCTGTGAGAGCAGCAGCATCAGCAGCTATTAGATAGATACACAGATGGAGGAAGACTCAAACTCAGCCTCCCAGTGAAAAGGCCTGACGCTGTCAAGCTTTACGGTGCTCAGGAAAGAGGGATACAAGTATGTTGTGCTACTGACTGTCAGTCTCTGGCAAAATTCAGTGCTTACAGCGTTTGTAAGAGCTCGCACATTGACCTTTGTTCTCGTTATTAGCAAACAAAAGCCTGTCGGTCATGCCTGCAAAGGCTGTAAGGAGAGCACATGCTAAGAACCTGACCCTCACTCCAATAAGCAAGACTGATTAGGATCCACGAACCGCATGCAGACACGCGACACGTACTCGCAAAGATCAAAACGCCCCATGCGCGACACGAATAAGGGGGGCTTGGATGTTAAGCGGATTTGTACGGATCAGGACTTGGGGAGGTGGAGCTATAGGGCCTCAGGAACCCTTCGGATCCCTTCGGCTTGGGAACTAGGAAAGAACCGCTCATGCATTCGTGGTGCGAAGTTATGATCGAGGTTGGGTACCGCCGCCACTCAGTGACCATGTCTTGCACTAAACAGCAACGAGTGCAGCTAATTTTGCGGGCAGCAGCTGCCAATCATGCTTTACAAGGTGCATGCTATGCAGCTCGGCAACTCATTGCCATTGTACGACGCGAGAGGTTCCCATCCGGTTTTTACCGAAGAAACACAAAGGTTCTACAGTGGCCACCCCAAACCCTAGATAGATGCTCTCAGCGCAGGAGGCACCACATGAAGCTCCTTCATACGTGGACCCACCTGTTAAGCTAGGCTTGGTGAGCCCAAGCACACGCCGCCATGCACCGTTGTGCACTTTGGGCGGCTGCCGCTGCACTGACTGTGCGCTTCGTGGTTTTTGTCGCCTGGCGAAGAATTGCCAAACAACTGCCAGGCTTATTCCCGCAGCCAAAAGAATTTGGAAAGCTGTCCACCTGGCATGGAAGAGTTTCCACTAAGCAGTAGTGGTGAGACATCTTGAGATTCCGCAGCAATAACATACTACATATGCTACCGTATTGAAGCCCTGATCAGTGTTCAAGCCAACCCAGAGTCCGAGATCTCTTGAATTAAAGATCGTCAGCTTCACCACCGTCAACATGATGATTCCATGATCCTCTATGAGGCTTGGACATACCTTGCAGGCAAACATGGAGCTACCCTGCCAATGCCCACATCCGAAAGCAACTTGATGAAGATCTGGGATGTACTGTCTTGAGCCTTTGGTCCAAGATGTCTAATCAAAATGCTAAGCCCAGTCTTGCGAGCTTGTAGCCCAGAATCTGCTTCTGCATGAAGCCCCCTCACAAAAAATAGAACTTGAGGGATCGCAATACCTGATCCACGCCCATCAGCTTAGAATCCTGCACAAGAGCCTCCTCCAAGCTTAAAAGCCTGAGGCTCTAAACCCCCGAGATACCTACCAACTCCCGAGAATCACGAATGGATGAAATTCGGATTGCCTAAGTTAACGAAAATTACGACAGTATAAGGAGTCATTGTCAGCTGCGGATGTAGACAGGTCACGCCATGCTCCCCGCCCCGACGTTTGCGCAGCGCTCGAAGGCCTGAGGGGTGTGATGACTGACCAAGCGGTGACGTGAACAATCAATCCTCAACAAAGCGACAGCTGCAAAGGCATGCACATCTGCAGAAGATCAAGTCTGCATCAGCCTGGGATCCAAGCTGATGCCTTCCACATTGAAGCGTGGAGCTGCGGGATCCGTCAAAGCAGGCCAAGGCCACAACAAGCATAGAAAACAGGGAACTGGCTCTGGTCAGGGCGCTGCCTTCCATGCCTGTACTTGTACCAGGAGCTGAGGGTCCCCAGTGGCCGGGTCCCCCAGTGGCCGCGGCCCATGGTGAACATCGGTGTGAATAATTTTTCGGGTGCAATTCCTTCAGCGTTCCGCTTGCTTCCTTGGCTTCCAGCCTAGACATGATGGGCGTTCTGTCTCTGCATACCTGCACTGTATGACATGCACCTGCAGATGCCGCGACAGTTGCAAGACTGCCGCTGACGGGGAATTTTATATGTGAGCTTGTCCAGTGCCGGGCCTTCGCGTGGTGAACCTCTCATCCCATCCCAGACCAGTGCACATGATATTCGTGTCCAAGCCAAATCAAGCCGATCCTGGTACCAGGTATGGCCCAATCAGACTTCACTAGCACGTTCTAGTTTGCAAGCGTTCATGTCTCGTCAATCCAGAAGGTGGGACGCTCGAAATTCTGCAAGCCCTGTTGTTTTGCCGCCCAAAGACGGCACGGGAGCTCAGGTTTGGTTTCGTATTGCATTCTACGACATGTTTTATCAGGACTGGAAACTATTGGTTCATGGTCAACAGATCAGGAATTTTTATTATTTGCATGATGGTGCCTTAAGGCTCATGATTGTAGACTAGCGGCTTCCATGCGTCCTGTCCAGATGACAAGTCATCTCGCACCCCATTGCAAGCTGCTGCAGCGCAGGGCTGCTACACACTTGCGCTTGGAGTTGTGATGTATTGGAGGAGGGAGTATTGAATGGGACACCAAGCATGTTTCCAAGAGACTGTAAGATGGTCCTAGTCACCCAGCTAAGCTGAAGCCAGCAAAACACGTAAGCACAGGAGTACTTGCCATGCTTTCCGAAGCTCACTCTCGCATTTTTCGAGGTGGAGAATGGCGCATGTGGTACTATGGACGGGAAGGCAAGGGGTTCAAGTGGAAGCTGCTCGCGTAGGGAAAGTCAAGGTCTCTTCGAAGGTTGTAGGTATTAGAATATGAAGATTATGTGGTTACTCTGGGCTTCAGTGATTCGAGCAATTCTAGCAGTTTTGGAAATCCGAGATAGAAAAGGCTCAGGAAAGGGAGGGAAGGCTCACATTGCGAGATTCAGAAAGCTGGCATACAGAAAGTTGAATAGGATGTTTGCTCAGTCTCGGTGTAGAAGGGTCTGTAGTTGTGCAAGAGGTGCATAGAGGTGCTGCAGACTTCCAAAACCGCCAAGCAGGCTTGCAGCCATGAGACTGAGCCGGAGCTTCTCAGCCCTACTTTGGCTGGCTCTGTTAGAAGCATCATGGCAATTGTGATTAGGACTTCACAGATGATTTAAGGCAGGGCTTCGCACATCTTGGGATTAGAGGGAGGGGTTTTGGGGTCCAATGCCCAGTTGCGAAACTCCCGCGCTCCTATGGTGTCGCAAGCCATGAGCAATGATAAGCTGCGCATCGCCGCACGTGCAGGCACAACCTGGGCAAAGGGAGTCGACGCCTTCCTTCCCACAGGCAGGTAGCATTCTTTTGACATTGGCATGCGGGGACAAGCGCTTGCAAAGCTACTGGTAGAGAGCCATCGCAGAATAAGGGTAAGCACGTGCGGAAATCTACAAAAGACAGGACTTCAACAGGCTGCGTGGTTGACGACATTTTCCACTGAACACGCCGGGCTCATGCAGACCTGCAAGCGAACAGTCTAGACAGGCACTCAAACTTAGTTTGTTCTGCTTCATGCGCCTAGCTAAGAAACTGCTACCAGGTTACCAACTCTTCGGCCACTGACCTTTCTGAGCACTGGCGTTCCGTTGAAGTCCTGTACCTGCCAACTGCACAGGAAGAATTGGAGCTGCGTCTTCTGTCGATGGCGCCAGGCCTGGCGATGAAATTCGTTGCGATCTACAGAAGCTTGCAGACATCTAGGATCCAGGCGCAAAAAGCCATGGACAAACAAAATTTCACGAGTCCTTGTGCAGGGCACTTAAGCCAGTTCTTTATGTTTGGGTCATGCTGGGGTCCTCGCGATGATGCGGAGGCTGTAGATTCGCAATCATTGGTTTTGTTTTGCAAGTGGATCAAGCTTCTTCTTCGTCTAGTAGTTCACGTTGGGCCATTCAGAAGTCCGACGCAGAACTATGGAGCCTCAGGTGGCGACGTCTCCGCGGACCGCTTGAGGCGCCAACGCTTCCAGGACTTGTTGAGGGTGGCTACAGTTGTGCCTCTGCGATTCCTTGAGGTTCAATTTTTGTGGAAGGAGAGGTGGGTCGGGATTTGCATGGCATGATGATTTGGGGATGTTGTAGACTGGGATGGTGGTCTGGCTGCCCGAGAGCCTTGTCAGCCAAAAGCTGAGCATCACATTCTATACGCCCTAGGCGGAGGACTGTCCCGGAAACTACGGTACACCCAAACACTCTTGAAGCACAGTCCACAACATCCACAACGAGCCTTGTTCGTCTTGTGATATAGTGCTGTTTCAGAGGTCAGAGGCCCCACATTCAGTCTCCACACCCGTCTAAAGGTGTTAGTTGAGGTGCGACATGATGCAGTCTTGCGGACTGCTGTCATATGTGATGTCACGTGCTCAAGGTTTTCGTGCTCATGTGCAGTGGGAGGGTGTGGTGACATAAGGCAGCCAAAACCGCGTAGACTGCAAGTGCGGCAAGATCGCTAAGCCCCCCTAAAGCAGCGTAACGAGTCCGCATTGGCGAGGGCGGCGCCTGCCTTGATCCAAGCGACGCTGAGGCCAGATTCGCACCTCTCAGACAAGGTTTAGTGCAAGATTGGCTTCAAAATAACTTTCAGAGTTGTCATCAAGTCGCTTGGGGGCCAAGCACGTCACAAGCAGCTCTGAAAGAAGGCTCATGCAGACACAACGCGGCACATTGGCAGCAAATAGACGTAAAGATGTTGACGCCGCGATCGTCCAAGCGCACTTATTGCTTTAAGTGAGGCTGGCGCAGCAGGAAATCCCCGGTGTTCCCGTGACAGCCTATTCATGCTCAGGTCCAGAAGTCTGCGCACTAGTCGTGAAAGTGCCACTTTCAACATGGAAGTTTGTAAGTGAGCAGGAGCAAACCCTGGCCTGGTTAGTGATTCCAGTGATGCACCTTAGGGTTGTCATCCTGCAAGGACGCTTTTGACTGCGTGCACGTCGGTGTTGGTGCAAAGCCCAGAGAGTCAAGCGTACAGCTTGGATTGGGTTGGGGGTAATTGCCATATGTATGCTGTCTGTTTCATAAGCTCAGGCCAGGTTTTTGTGTAGATGCGGATTCAGAAGTTAAGCGACCAGGCCAGGGCGAGTTGCACTCGTCCTTCAATTCGTCGGTTCTCTTCTGAAGCCCGATCACCTGGAAGAAGCAATCGGGCTACGATTCCGAGTCACAGTTGGTATTCGGTCAAAAATCGTAGTGTACAGGGGTCGCAACCTACGTTTCTCTTGGTTTACCTTGGCAAGCAATGTCATGCGCCATCATGTGCCCTCTGTGTGTATGAGCCTGGACTGTACAGTATAGCGGTAATGGGAACTCCCAACGCTTGACCTGGTTCGCATTGAATACCCATGTATTGACCCCATCACAGCTTCTGCAGCAGAATTTTGGCAGTTGGAATAGCTCAATATCAGCGGCACTATCTAGTTGCATTGCTACCTTCGGGCAATCATCGTGACACTTAAACGAGCAATCTTGCCGCTGCCACAGTAAGCAGCGGGCATGACTCGAAGACTCAAATCCGCCTTGTGTCATGAGGCCATTGCTCGCCTGCCAAGAAGTTGCCAGATTCAAGCTGTTCTCGACACGGAACCATGAATCCAAACCGGAAGAACCTCCCAAGCCTTCCAGCAATCCGGAAGCCGCGCATCCTTCTCAGGTGATGTTGTGGAGCTTCCCAATGGCACGCTCTGGATGTATTACTTCGGTGGTGACTTGCTCGCGCTAAGCAGAGTACACCTGCTAGACCAAGGCTTAGGGTTGAGGCTTTACCATGCTTTGTGTACCCAGCTTTTGGCCCAGCATGTTCTGTCTAAGTTCGCCTGCTTCACCAGTAGTGGCAGACTCGATGACTATCTCTGCTATGCTTTCAGCATGGGAAGCCAATGTGCTAGGAAGTATCCAACAGGGTGACAGTATTCTGAAGCAGAAAGTGATGTGAAGCCAGAGCCCAGAGAAGAGCTCAGCCAGGATGTAGCTACGTTGGATTTCAAGTGCCGATGTTCAACCGCCGACTTGGTCTGCCGGTACTTGAGCCTTGCCCTGTGGTGTGCTAAATCCCAGTCTCAGGTGGCCTTGAGGGGGTGCCACGCGCGGGCATCCGGATGCAGATTGGCTGGAGGCTGAGTGTCTTGATGAAGTCCGCTGTGCAACTTAGCTTTGTCCTCAGAGTTCGAGCTGCCTGGCTGGCGCAAAATGTAGGAATGCTAGCGTGCGACCCAGCGATTCGTGAGATTTCCTTCAATTTGTGTAGAGGTATTACTGCGCCCCGAAACTGAACTTCAGCTCCAGCTTTCTGAGGCCTCGCCGTGTCTGAGGATGGGTTGACCTGGCGACGACATGGCGAGCCGGTGCCAAAGTCTTCGGAGTTGGTTTGAGGCTTGAAAAGACAAGGTAAGCGACTGTGCCACCCAGGCGTAGATTTCGCATTGTTCGGCGGGCCGTGGATGGGATCAGAGTCAAATTCGAAACTTTGTAGACGTGCGACACTCTGTCCTTTGCTGAAGATCACATGATCTCGTTTCAAATGCGGCACATCTAGTACTGTACTTGTGTTGAAGGTGAAGCATATGATTAGGGTGAAGCTTAAGATTCTGTTTGCAAGCTTCACATTTGTTTTGCTTAAGCCTGTTGGTTTGAATGAGCCGCCTGACTCATGAACGGCAGACTTCTAATTGCATCAAACCAGCGGGGTCTCTGCAGTCATACTGCTTGTATGAGATGGCGCCATCCGTGTCGCTGAACCTGGCCATGTAAGGATGTCCAGCACTGTGAATTCCATCCTGAGCCAAGCAACGCACCTCTGCTGAGGGGAGTTCTTGATGATGGCAAGTCATGAGCAGGTGCTCAGCCCTGGAGCTCCTGGCGACTTCGATGAGACCTTCGTGGCTGCACGGCAGCCTGTGAAAGGGACTTTTGAGACTGCCTCCGTTTTCTGCCGCGGAATAGTAAGCTGTCAAAGCTGCCAAAATTTCAGTGGACCTCACGAAGATCTGATTGTGTGTGTGTAGTTGCCTTATCATTGGGAGCTGCTGGACTTGTGTTCTGAGACCTACTTACATGAGCTGAGGAGCGTTGTGAGTCCGAAGTGTAGATCAGAAGTTTCAGCTTTTACGAAATGCTCCCTTAAGTCAAAGCGCATTCATTCTCCTTCAGTAAGCTGGTAAACGCTTCAGAGGACAAGTTCGCCGAGGCGTGGCCCAGAGTTCTGCCCCCCTGGGAGACAAGGAATGTGGGCATCGAGGGATGGCAACTCAGCTTCTGAGCTAAGAGATGGATACAAAGATTTTTTAGTATGGCACCAGTATGATCTGTTAGGGTGAGCAATGCACTAAACAAGACGGCATCACAATCATTCACGGAGAACATTCTGGAGCAACCCTGCTATGTAACTCTCACAACCTTGCCCGGAAACGTTCTATAGTTATAGTAGAGTTATTGTCTCGAGAGAAGAGCCAACGGCTCTGTGCATGATCCAAAGAAAATAAGGAATGCCCATAGCCCCGCTGCGGTTCGGCAATGAAGGATTTCATCCTCTCTGGATGGATGCTTTGGTGATCCTATGCTCTTCGAACACAAATGGTGGACCGTATGCTCTTGGAACACGAACGTTATTATGGTTCCGGCATGGATGCTCTGGTGACATCTGGTGACCGTATGCTCTGGGAACACGAGAGTTATCGTGGCCGCCAGTCAGCCTGTTCCAAATAGTGTCTGCAGAAGAGAGAGAGAGAGAGAGAGAGAGGCTGCGAGTGCCGCGCGCGCGTCACCTGCCTGCTTGGGGCTGTGCCCCAGCCCTCTCCGCATGGGGAGGGTAGAGCAGTGAGGAGGAGGAGGAGGAGGAGGAGGAGGAGGAGGCTGCGTGTTTTCTTGCCTAGTTGGGGATAGTTGTTGCACTTTGGAGATGTCAAGCAGCCAGTGCAGTGCCGGACAGGAGATTTTGTCGTGGTAAGTCTCACAGCCCGCTGAAGTGAGGGGTGCAACAATCGGGAAGCAGGAGGAGTAAGTTGTTTACTTCCTGTTGATGGCGTGCCTGCCCCGCTCTGGCCTTGTTGGTACCAACCCTGAACAGACAGTGCGCCTTGGGGCTCGGAGCTGCGCTCCGGCTCACCCGTAAAGGGTGACCTAAGCCCAAAGAAGAAGAAGAAGAGAGAGAGAGAGGGATATATATATATATATACATATATATGTATATATATATATACATAGAGAAGCAGGACAACTGCATCGCGGATAGACAGAGGATTATGTGAGGCTTTGCCGTGCGGAGGCCGAGAGGGAGCTACGGCTCAGCCTGATTGTTGGTCTTACGAGCTGGCACGGTCTGCGGCACCACGCTGGCAACTCTTACATGGGAACCCTGCGCGGTGTGCGGTGTCAAGCAAATGCTCCTTCAGATGTCAGAGGATGTCAGAGAGGTCAGTTTTTTCTCAACAGGCCAGGATGCATCTTCCCAAGCCAAATTCAGCTCTGGTTATCTTGAAAACAGCCATGAAGCACCTCCTGATCTCCATCAGGAAGAAATCTTCCGGGTACTGAACACCAGGACTCGTCAACATGAGTGCCTTGTTTCTACATGTCGTTGGTCGAACGCTGAGACTCATCGAAGGGAGTCGCATACAGCCATCTGAGGTATATGTCCTACCACACCGCCTCTTTCAAGGAAGGCATCCAATGGTCTGCAGGAGACTCCAGCTTATAAACGGCCAGGTATGCAGGGGCTCGGGGTCTAATCGCTTGCAAGACTCGAAGAGCTAGTGTGGTTTCAGAAGCAGTAGGTGGTTTCCAAAAACTCTGACAGCACAAGCATTTCGCTGCTTGGATCATGATTTGCTTGTGAGGAGCTGCTTTCAGCGATGATGGGGTCTCCTGGACAAAGGTACCCAGCAGACGAAAGATGTGCGTGTCCTTACAGTTACAACGGCAGCTATGCCATTGTTCAACATCTACAAAGATCAGCATGGCATCTAGCCCTCAGCTCAAGACCAACTGGCTGTTGAATATGCAAGAGCCTTTCTGTTGCCTCACACGCATTGGAGAAAACACTTTTTGCACGGTAGGAAAGTGCCAGTGCGGGCCTGACCAGCAGCTTAGAAGTCGTTGATTTTGAAAGCCTGCTGCAGTGAGAAGGTTGCCGGACCAGTGTTGGAAGGAGGCGACGACGGAGCCTGGGATGAGAAGGGCGTCACGTAGCTGCATGCGAGGATTTTCCGGAATTTGGAACCGAAGGACCGTGTGCCAACTGGGAGTAGGAACTTCCAGCAGACCTTGATGGCGGCAACCTAAAGCATTTCTGGTTTTATGCCGCGCGGTGTACAGGCTTGGCTTTGGAAGCGATGTGCCATTCCTTGCTTTATGGTTTGATGGCCTGTGAGGTTGGTGTTCGTCACCCGGTAGTGGGGCCTGATGGCCGCCTGGTCATGGTCTATGAGGCGGTTTCTCTACAGCATCTACTAAGTTTACCAGCTACCACTGCTGTTAGTTATCCCTGCTGACCGTTGCCTGACAGCTGGAAACCTTCAAATTCCTCTGAGCAGACCATTGTGTTTCAATCCCTGACTAATCGTTGATCAGATGGGGTAGAGACCAAAGCTTGAAAGGCCTGACTGGGGTCGCTCTTAGGTGCCCTACCACTGAGGGCTTGAAGCCCGGGCCCGTCATATCCCTGAACTCTTGCAGCTTCATGATCATGCATCATCCAAGTCTTGTGCTGCAGGCCGTGGACGGTGCCATGGACCACGCTTTGGGCCTGGCGGAGCCTTGCCTGCGCAGTCTATACATGTTCGTGTTCTATATCTTGACCTGCCAAGATTTGCGTGGACTGCCCTTTAGCATCCCGCTGGTTGTCCCCAGAACATTTCCCTTGTCGGCAGTGGTACTAGACATAGAATTTCGAGCGAAAGTACCCCTGTATGCTACCCGTATGAGTTTGTTCAATTGCAGTACCGAGGAGAGTGAGGACGGCATCAGCTGGACCAAGGCAGCAAAGTCTGCATAGCCGCTGGAATCCAGTACCCATGGATAAGTAGGTATAACTTAATAAAACTCTGCGTAGCTGGGGTTACAGCAACCCTGTAGTAGTGTTCAAAACCCAGGATCATTGCTCGCCAGAGCATGAAGCGGGTGAACTTACCACATGTCCAGGAGCCTGAATACACAGGCCACCTATAATTTGCCTGCTTTGTGCCGGTTCCAAGATAAGTTTCAGCCAAATCTTCTGAGCCTTCTGGTGCAGATCGCTTCATGCCAATGAGCTTTCTGTTGGCTCATGGTCGGAGACATACAAAACAACAAGGAGGGCTTCTTTCACAAGGACTATCCCATAACGCCAGTTAACAGCTGTGAAAAGGCAGATGCCATATTACTGGGAATGAACAGCTTTCCTACATCCTTCGTTCTGTAGTTGATGCTTTATTGTATGGGGGTAGGAGTTTACCGAAATTTCCGCGAGCATTCCTTGTGATCTCACCCACTCTTTCTATCCTGCCCTTGCCCTGACCAGTTTCCACGCTCAAAGTTTCTAGCTCCTCACCAGCACTTTTTCACCGAGCACTCCACCAGAGGTCAAGTTCCCTGAGGCCGGCCTGGGTGGACCAGTCTTGCAAAAGGCCAGAATTCAAAGGGGTGTTTTACATCTTCGTGATTCAGGATGCTCGGGGTTTGCAGTTGCAGGCTTCAGGAGGAAGCCTGCGCTAGATAGACACTTTGGTCGATCGTTCGTGTTCCAGGAGCTGGGATTGCAGATAAGCTTTGCGTTCGATCTCTGCTGGAGCTTCAAAAGCTGACGGACGCTACCGTAGATTTCTTAACTTTTCATCATCTCATACCCGTCTCTGATGGGTGAATGCTGGATTTCCCTTCCTCGCACTGCCAGTTTGCAGCATCTTCACTGTCCTGTTCCGTTTTAAAGAAGAACTAGCGGCACTAGCTTCGAGAGGGATACTTAGGCCCGGAAGACCCGTCTTGGCCAAGTATTCAAGCGGCAGTACATTAACAGTCGATTTGGACTTGTTCTGGAGTTGGGTTTCAGGCTTCATAAGGAGACTGCTTTCAGACTGAACACGATCCCACCCTAGCCACACATATGTTGAACATCAGCTTCCAGAGCAACTTGGTAATCGCAATGTTAGACCAAGAAGATGATTCTTGGCACAATTGTTCATGGCAGACTCGCCATAGCCATGGACAGATTAGGAGTTCACCCCCATTACATGAATGCACAATCGGGCATGAGCAGGCATTGTTTTATGTTGAAGATGAGTATGGCACCTCAGGTGTCAAGAAGCCTCAGGTACTAGACAAGGTTGCCCATTGTCTCGTTATCTGTTTGTTTTAGTTATGTGAGTCATTGACAGCGACGTTGGCAACAAATTAACTGATAAAGCAACTCATTCAAGGCATGATGGTATTGGCTGTGCTAGAGTTTCCTTTGCTGATGATGCTTTGTTGATTACGAGAGATGCCCCAGCTGCAAACAATGTGATTCACCATGTAGAGAAGACTTCAGAACAATACGGGTTTACACCTCAATCGGGAGAAATGTTGCTACATTGCAACGAACGGCGACAATACTATCAAATTCCGGGATGGCACGAGACTTACGCGCGTGACGGAAGCAATGTATATAGGTCACCGGATCACAAATGACATGAACGTGAAACGCGAAATCAGTGCCGAATGCAGCAAACGTTGATGACGCGGTATCAGCCGGAACCATTTTGGAAAGCAGCAGCTTGCTCTGCGAAATGGAAGTAAGAAGTCTGTGATGCGATTCTAAAGAACAAGTTGTAGTATGGTTTGGAGACCATCCAACACACGCAATCAGATGCAAAAAAGGTCAACACTTTCCAACTCAGGGGCCTCAGAAAGATCCTCAATTTGCAGAGCACATATATGAATCGCGCTCACACCACTTCCTTTGTATGTCAAAAGGCAAACCAAGAAATCACAGGAATCGCACAAACAGTTTTCGGAAAGTCAAGCTTTAGTGCAGCAGAAAAGATGTGAATTAGTTGATCATATCCTTAGACCTCAACCAGAAGATCCCTTAAGACAAGTAAGGTATTAGCCCAACTCTGCAGCTGTACATCCGATACACAGACAACAGGTTGGAGGGCCAAAGCAGCAATGGATCATTTGCTCTAGCAAGTACGGATGGGAACATATCTCGCGCAAACCCTTCAACCCGTACACAAGCAGCAACGGGCAAAACAATGAAATGTATGTACACAGAAGCAATCAGCCGCCATTTTTGAAGCCGTTTTCCACGCGCCCACGGCCTCATCAGTCGCCCAGATGCGCGAGACTATGGCAGAGAAGAAAAGCTTCCAGAGCTATCCGCAAGTACCTAACACAGCCATCAATGTGCTGGGAACCCCTTCTGCCTATGCAGGGCGCCACCGATGCCTGGGATAGCCGTGTTGTCGGAACTCCGCTGCTCAGCTTAAGAGATGTCGTGGTGTTGCGCAACCTTAGTGCCTAAGGGTGATGCAAAGCACATTAGCAATGCAAGTAACAGATTTCCGACATGCATTCTCGATGCTCGACCGTCTGTCTTTCAGAGACAGCCCAGCCAGGCGTTCCTGTCCTAACCCTCAACCACTGAGAGCTGGGAAGCCACAGGGTGCGATATCTGCAGCAGCGGTGGAATTGCAGAAATTGTATGCCAAGGATTTCTATTTTGCTCATAGCAGGTCCGCATTTCATCGCCTGTTGCAATCTGCAGGCTTTTCCTAGCTTTGGATGCAGCCCTAGTGCTTCAACCTCATTCTGCCAAACTTGCATCCTTCCTATTTGCCATTGAAAGATGTTGAGGTATGTTGTTCCGCCCGTGGGAGCTGAAGATCCATGGCGCCTATACTACGTGGGGGAGGCTGAACCCTAAACCCGCCTAAGCCCTAAATCCAGGAATTTAGTTTTCTTTATGCGTTTAGGGCTTGGGGCAGTAGACTTCAGTAATATTCGCAGGCGGGGCTTACAATCATCAATCTCAGATCCTGGACGCTGAGCTCGGATGCAAGAGTTTCGGGGAAATTCTGATATTAGTTGCTTGCCAGGGCACATTTCCTTTTGGCATGGATTTCAATCAGTCTGATCTGCTGCCCAGCTTCTACACAAAGATACTTTGAAACTTTGACTGCTGTTGATGCAGGTGCCGAAGCTACAACTGACGTTTGTTTCCTCAAGAGCCCTTAATGTATGAGACTGTTCTGAGGCGACTGAGAAGCCGGGACTATCTGTTGGCCTCTCGTCACCAGATGTGTTTGGGTTGCTGCTTGAGAGGTCCTGCGGCTAATCAATGCAGCGCATCCTTCCAAAAAGTTGATCCGCGTTGCACAGTCTTGTCTGTCTCCTCTAGGTGCATACTTTCGTGCTTTGGCTGGTCGGACGTAGACTTCCAGTTCCTACTACATGACAGGCCCGCTAGGCAGAGTGCTCCAAGGCCTCGCAGAAAGTTTCGACAAGCGTCTCCAAGTTTGGCGAAAACGGCGCTGCTTGGCTGAACGCGACGCTTCAGAAGTGTTGTGAAGACGGGCGGGGAGAGGAACCAGCACAAATACTCAGGGTTAAAAAATACAAGCATGAGGACCCAGAGTTAAAAAGGACAAGTGCGTGAGGGTCAAAAAAGAAAAGATCAGAACATTGAACTCTGGCGTGGAGTTTTCTTACTTTCTGATTTTCTGATCCTTTGGGAAATCGAACTCTGGCGTGGGGCGTCCTTGAAAGCTGTGGCGTGGAGCGTCCTTTCATTCTGGTTTGAAATTGAGCTCTCATGTGGAGCGTCGTCGAATCATTCCAGCGCCAAGTCCACTTCTCGCGTGGAGCATCCTCAAATTTTCATGGGAGCGCCGCCAAAGGAAGGAAGGAAGGAAGGAAGGAAGGAAGGAAGGAAAGAAACAGGCCGGAAGCAAGGCAGGAAGGAAGGAAGACTTTTTGGCATCTTCATGTTTTGTAGTGATACACCTTTTTCTCAGTTTCATCTGTTTTCATAATTGTTCATCATATTACATACTTTTGTATTTTTCACAGTATCTGTTATGATTTTCCATTGTGTTTCACCATTTTCAGGTTCATGCATTTTCATCATTTTCATTGTATTCCACAGCTTTTCATCATTTTTCATATTTTTAACGCACATTTTCATGCCTTTCATCATTTCCATGATCTTTAATTACTTGCCATCGTCTTTCATTATTTCCATGTTTTTCTTTTTTTGACGTTTCGTCATGTTTCATCAGTTTGCATCGGAACAATCTTTGTCCAGGTTTTGCAGGTGCGAGCGCTGGTGTTTTAGAATTTTAGTTTTACCCAACACCTTTCAAAGCACACTCGCGCAAGCATTCGTGATTATGTTACCTTTTTCCACCATTCGTACTAATCATGGATCACTTCTGAGCATATTCCATCATGTTCCCTGAGATTCCATTCTTCATAGTATTTCATCACTTCTCAGTGTTTGCGTCATCGTCTTCATGTTTCATAACTGTTCATCAGGCTTCATGTCTCGTCAGATTTCATTATTTCATAATTTTCATGATCTAATACGAAAGTACATGATTTTTCGTCATGTGCGTCATAGTGCCGTAAATTTCACTGTTTCACTGTTTTATCGCCGGATTTCATCAAATGTCATCATTGTTGTCAAATTTCGACATCTTTCATCATATTTCATGAAGGTTCATGGGTCATGATCATATGAATCATATTGCATAATTTTCATAATGCTCCATGACATTCCATTACTTTTTTTTCATATTTAGCTATGATTCGCATGGTTTTTCCATCAATTTAATCATTTTCAACACTCTTCATGATTTTGTAATTCTTCATGACTTTGACTATTTCAGTCTTTTTCCCGTGCTTTAATGCTGTATTTTGGATCCTTATTTCATTATTTTCAATCTTCCAAAATCGTGGAATTTACAGTGTTCAGGCACCCAAATCCTCAATTGTGGTGTAGCACATGCGTGCATGTGAGGATGAACATGTATCCGACGGACCGTAGTGTGTCGGCTCCGTCGGTTTTTCGCTTCCCTGCCTCCTTTGTGCCCTTTTTCGTCCATTCGACGACATGGCATCTACTCCAGTTTCGTCGATCGCCTCTTCGGCGACCAATGTTGCCGACGTCCTGGCGTCGCTCGGCAACGACGAACTGGCGGCGGAGGTTGGGAGCTGGTCGGCGGAGCTCCAAGCCAAGGTGGTGGCGGCGGTATCCGCCCTGTCTTCGACGCCGACATCGACATCGGCGTCCACGGCGGTCCGGCGCCGCAAGAGCAACAAGCTCGACGCGGCCTCCTCACCTCCTCCTCAACGGCAGCGTCATGGTTGGCCCCGGCGGTGGCGCCGGCTGAGCTTACGGCGGAACTCGCCGCCATCCAAGAAGGCGACCGCTCTCCGGCGCCAACGACCGTAGCCGACGAGGAGGTGATCAACTTCGGCGCCATGCAACGCCACTGGGCAACCCGCCCGTCGTCATGGTGGATGTCAGCGGCGCCATCGGCCCGGACCTCGGCGGACCAGGAGACGGCAGCGCCGACACCGGCGGCCTGCAGCGGCGCTGCAGGCGGCCACGGCGGCGCGGTTGGCACGACCTCGGCGCCTACTGCCACTACTTCGTCCGCTACGGCATTCTTGGCGGCGGCCGGCGGCGATGGCAGCACGACATCGGCGCCTACTACCACGTCACCTACGCCCGTGCCGGCGAAGGCCGGTTTCTTGGCGGCCTATAACGACGATGAGGGCCCGACAATGGCACAACGGCGCAGCCGAAGCCAACGGCGCTGCCGCCGTACCCATCGGCGCAGCCGCAGTCAAAGGCTCCGCCCCCCCCGTTCAGCGGGGACAACATCGACGCGTCGGCCTCGCCCGATGGTGCCGGCGGAAGTCCTCATGGCGAAGCGCCCGCCGACGGAGTTGCGGCAGCCCGGCCCAGAGCCGGCCCCGGCGCAGCGGAGCAACCTTGGAGGAGCTGCAGCGACAGATCGCCGCAGAGATGTCCAATGCGGCGCAGGACACCGGCAACTGGGGAGAGCCGGCGATGGCGGCGGCCTCGGCAACTTCCCGTCGCCTGAGGAGGCCAGGTCAAAGCCGGCGCACCGACATGACCGGCATGGACCGCTGCTGCTGACTGGTCCGGCGGCGGCGGCTGGCTCGACGTCATCCTCTTCGTCGACAACGGCTCCGCCCCCTACGTCCACGGCGCTGCAGATCCCTCCGCCGCTCCAGGTCGTCGACGAGGAGGACAGCGACGACGACCTGCCCGAAGGCTTCGACATGAGGCCGGAGCGGCCCGGCGGCGTCAGATTCAACATGGCGGTCTTTGTGCCGGACATCGACTGGCCCGCCTACAAGCGGCGGATGGAGGGCCGCGGCGCATGGGCCAATGCGTTCTTCATTCGGCGCCTACCTTCCGACCAGCGCGGCGGGCGCATCCCAAGGAAGCACGCCAACCGACGCGTCGCTGGGTGGTGCGGCCTCGGCGTCAGCAACGGGCATACCGGGCATGCCTGCCCCGCCGACCACGACCACCTGGCCCACTTTGCTGGCAGGTGATCGGCGGCTCTTCGGCGTCATCGGCGACTTCGGCATCCCCGACTTCATCTCGACGGGTGCCTTTGCTCGTGACGCCTGCCCCCTTGGCTAATTAATTCGGCGTGGGCGACGCCCCACCACCTTTTGTCCCGCCGCTCGGCGGTCTTACTCGGCGCAGACGCGCTTGCACCAACCTCGGCGGGGTCGTAAGCCCCCCGTCGCTTTCGGCCTTTAACCGGCCTTTGTCAGGGTTAATTTGCGGCGCCGTTTTGGCTAGCCTACTTGGCGAGGCCCGCCCGGCGCTAAGACGACCGGCGCACTTGTTTAGTGCAACAGCGGCAATATCAAGGGTCGGGGCCCGACGTCTGCAGTGCAAGGGTCGGCAAGGTTGCTCAGGTTTGGTAACGACGCTACGGCAGAAGCCCATAGGCTCAAGTCGTCTGGCTCAACAATCGGCGGTGCAGGCCCGTTATGGCTTCTGACGCACCGGCGCCCGAAGATACAGTCGCTCAGGTGGTGGAAGCGGCGATCGCCGCCGGTTTAGCGGCAGCTCTGCCTGTGCTCGCCGAGGCCGGCGTCACCTGCATCGACGACATTCGTCGGGGCCCTGTGCTTGACGGCGTTTCTTCTGAGCACTTGGTGCAGATCGTTGAGGCAAGTTCACCCAGGCCCGACGCCCCTATCCGGAGACCGGCGTTCAGGGCATCATTCTCGGCTGGGCTGGAGGCGGCGCAACCGGCAAACAGAAAAGAAAGAGGGCGCTCGACAACCTCGACGAGGGCATGCTCGCCAGGTCGTCCCACCAGCCCGTCGAGTCTCGCCTGAGGACTTGGCGACGGTACGCGGCGGCATGGGAGGTAGACCCTTGACCCATCACGTGGGAGACCTTGTGCTGCATCGGCGCGTCGTTGAAGGCGGGGCAACTACCGCTCCGCCCAGAACTACTTTGACGACGCCTTCAGGCACCAGGAGGTCCTGGCTACGGCGACAGGCCCGAAGGGTGGTCAAGTCCATCGTGAGGGCCTGCCGGGCACCCGGCTGAAAGAGGTGTTCGCCCTCACCTGTCTTGCCCGGCTGGTAGTGCTGACGGCGGCGTCGCCGTTCTCCGCCGAGGACGTCGCCCACATGACCGACGTCGTCATCATCGCCGCTTGGTTTATGCTGAAAGAAATTGAGCTGGGATCGGCTTTGCTCAAAGACCTCGGCCTCACGGCGACCCATGTGGCTATCGACGTGCCGCTCCACAAGACGGCCCCTGGCGGCGAGTGCGTCATGACACGCCGGCGCCTTGAGTGCGCGTGCGGCGTGCAGGTACAGCCGCTGTGCCCATTTCATGCGGCTCAACGTCACATGCTTCGGCTGCGTCTTCGAGGGTCCACTGGGCAGGACGACCCGCTACTGCCGGCGCAGGACGGCGGATTCATGCCGAAGCACGCCGTGATCCACAAGTTTGGACAGGTGTGTAGGCGGGGGGTCGAGCTGACGTACACAGACCCCAACAGCAGACAACGGCAGCTCTTCGGCGGCCAGCGGCTCGGGTGGCAGGCGCCTCCTTCCTGGCAGCTCACGGCGTCCCGACCCCAGTGATTCAGCTGCTCGGTCGATGGACCTCTGCACCTGTGGAAAGGTACACGCAAGCGCGCCGTTGGCCTTGGCGCCCGGTGCGGCGGCGGCGGCCCTAGGTAACGCGGCGATGGGCCCACAGGGGGCAGCCCTTGCCAGCTCGCACTACCGGCGATAGGTTACGGGGGGGACGGCGTGCTCGAAGTGGTATACGTCGCACCGCCGCCGAACACACGCCTGGCGGCGCAGGTGGTGGAGCCGACGCTGGTAATGCACCCGCAGACGCTGAAGGTACACACAAGGCGTCGCCCAATGAGGCCGACCTCGAAAGAGCCGAGTGGGTGACCCCCTGCGGCCGCTGGTACTATGGGGCCAAGAACTTTTACCGACTTGACGGGATGCCTCCCGGCGCAGACGCCTGCCTCACCGGCGGAGCCGGCTGAGGATGAGGTGCCACCGGCACAGGCAGAGGAGAGGTGCGACCAGGGGAGTCGTCCTCGTCGTCGACCGCGGCCGAGTCATGGCGGAGTCCGGCTCAGACGCCTCAGCGGCAGTAGAAATCGACTGACGTCGGCGCAGACCGACCTATAGGTCGTGCCAGGATCGGCGCGTGAAAACAGCTTGCGACGCATGTACACATTAGGATCCAAGAACTTGTGCCGGCTGTACCTGAGGTGACCCCCCTTCGACGGTGTAGCAATTTTGGATCCTTAGTCGGCCGCTGCCTTCCGTCGCCCCCATGGCTGCCACCTCGACCCCGGCTACCCAGAGCTTCCAAAACCTTTTAAATAATTAAAAGGGGATTTTTTTAAAAAAATAAAAAGGTTCGGCCTTATTTAAAAAAGAAGTTTAAACGATAATTTTATTAATAACACCCGAAAAAACCTTTTAAATGTCCATGATATATTTCAT